CCTACACGAACGCAAGGCTGGATACTCTGGGAGGTCGCCCGGTATCCCAGAGGCTCCATTTAAGACGGTGCATCCCCACCGCCACGCACCCCTCAGCACGGAATCGCTTAACACCTTGGGTTGGGTAAAGTACCATTGCCATGATGAGCGTTGAGCTTCAGGCGTCCCAAATATATCTCCGAGACACCTGTGGCCCAACGAATCATTCGATTAGCCGGACTCTCGGCTTTACGACAGGTCTCCTCAAAACTGGTCGAGGCGGTCCATCGCAAAACCGGAACCCCGTTGCCCCCCTACACGGTCGCTCACGGTTCAGCAAGTAATGCCGACCCGCAGAACGAACTCGAGGACGTACGGGTTGGATTTTGTAGGCGCGCTGGGACATACCCTGTGTCTAAATTTTATATCGTGCTGGTGTTTGGCATTGCGAACCGCTTCGGTATATTTGTTTCTGGACTCAACGTCGGCTTGTCTGTTCTCTACAGTGGGTTTTTGTAAGAAGGTTCTGTGTGCATTGCACTTCTGCTGGCGAGCAGTGTCATATGATTTGTGGAACCAGCCGCTGGACCCTGGTTTAGGCGCTTTCACTGTATGAGGGATGTATTCCTCCATCCCGACCTGGATAATTTCGGTTACCGAAGAACAGACAGCCGACGCATCCGCGTCAGAGAAAGAAACATATCTCCAAGGAAAGGTAGAAAAGAAGTCTCTAAGCTCCTCCCAGTCGGCTTGTTCGTAATGCCAAATTTTGCGATCAGTGCCAGTTGCTGGTGCCACAGCGGGTTCTGACCGAAACCTAACCTCCACAGCAGCGCGGTTTGAGTTGGCCGTGGCAACAGGACAGCAGTGCTGTAAGGGACAGGATTCGTGGTCAGAAAGAGATCCAGCAGGCTACAAATGTTATCTTCGATGTTGCTCCTCGAGTCCACCCTCCGCCCGGACATTCCGAGAGTGGAGTGCGCTTACGTCCAGAATTCTTAGCAGTCGAGGGATCGAGCATCATTAATTTCTTTGTTGGGTAAGATGACCGACTGCATAGCTTAGGTGTGTCAACATTCTGACATTTATAAGACACTCTGGAAAAAGCTAGCGAGTGGTACCGCCTCGGTCGACTGGTCCTAGTCTACCACCTTCTGTTTGCATGTTAATGATGTTAAATAGACCTAAAGTGGCCGGTTGGCGGACTTGTATCGCCACCCGGCAATCGGCACCGAGGTATTCCTTAACGCGAGTACAATCACTTGAACGGGAAGAAGTTTTATACTGAATACAACAACTTCCGGAACAAGCATTTGCCACGGCTCCACTCAGTAGGGTTGGGGGTGGGGGGGGTGTTAGAATATGGATGCCAAATGAGTTGAGTGAGATGAATCTGAGTAATAAAATAATAACATGCACATCTCTGCTTGTACGCTTGTATCAAACCTTTCTTGGATTAGCTAATAGCAGGGAAGAAAAAGGGGATGACGTATAAAAACGACATGAGGAAAAGAACATAATTTGAACCGGCATCTTTATTACGTAACTGCAAAATGACACCGATAGCGATCGGCAGGGGTATTCCGTATTTTGAAAAGTGACATTGTGTTTATTTGACATTATATAGTTTTTTATGACATTATGTAAGTTTTTCTGCAAGATGTCAACTTAGAACTAGCTGTTGTCCACTTCACGTGCACTCGTTCTGTAGCTGTACAGCCCTTAGCGCCGCATCGTCAGTCGTTCCTACAATTGTAGGACACCTTTATGACCTCCTTGATTCTCATAGTTTTCTACTGTTCCGTGTCAGCGGTCATTTTGAGGTTATGTTAAAAATATCTATTTGCATCAAATTGTTCATGCTTTTAATTTATATCATATGTGATACCAGCCTGGAATTTCCTACAATTCAAAAAGAAAACATAGCCTCACGATAGGAGAGCGCTGACGCTGACACGGAACAGTAGAAATCTAGAAACACCCCAGACAGTCTGAAGGAGAGAAAAGACTATGACTACAATTGTAGGACGCCTTCATGGCCTCCTTGATTTTCATAGCTTTCTACTGTTCCGTGTCAGCACTCTATTTTGAGGTTATTTTACAAAGATCTATTTGCATCAAATTGTTCATGCTTTTGATTCATATCATCTGTTATATCAGCCTCAAATTTCCTACGATTCACAATAGGAGAGCGCTGACGCTGACCCGGAACATTACAAATCTAGAAATACCCCAGCCTCACTGAAGGAGGGAAAAGACTATGAAAATCAAGGAGGTCATAAAGGCGTCCTACAATTGTAGGAACGACTGACTAGACGGCCCTAAACATCATGGAGCTTCAGCTATCAATGTTTGGCTCTGATGTGATGTAATAACTGCTCCAGAGATGGCATTTTTGGATGCCTACGTAATAAGTTGTATACTATAGCTGGAAGGTAACGGCAGCTAATAATCTGCGTATAATTGCTTGAGATGCATGCTTGATCCTGGAAATCGCATATGCCAATTTGCTGAACTTCAAAAATGAGAGAGGTAAAAAAGTAAATCCCTGGTTAATAAAGTATATTACAACTAACTCGTGGGAAAATAGGCTACAGAACGGAATATTTATGAAACGTGAAAAGGTTATTACATTTTACATTATTTTTTATTTCCAGTAATCTAAATAGAAATAGAAAATACAAATCAGCGTCTACATGTGAGGCACTGAAAAAATGTTTTGTGTGTGATTCGTCATTCATGTTTTTCCGTGATGTGACTTAATTACATGCAACGCGGGCGCGGTGGTGGTTTCCCGTAATGCTTTCTCAAAGTTTTTGAAATCGCAAAAAACCGGGAAACATTGTAATTTATAACCTCTTTCCGACATTTTGTCGATTTCTTTAACATTATATAAGTTTCTTAAGTAATAACCCTGCCGATCGCCATAATTATCACTTTGCAATTACCTAGCTGTCAGTCACTTCAAATTCATTTGCAGTAGCTGTGTATGTTGCCTAGAAACATCAAGATACTTGAGCTATGTGCTGTATCTGCTGTAACATCTGCTTCAGACATAACACTAGTGGAGGCCTTTCATAGCATAGCGTCCAAGGCCTAACCTGTATATTCTCTACTATTGCTAGAATGACGGCCGTTGTGCAATTCCTCCATAGATGGCGTCCCGAGCGAGTAGTCGCGGCATGGGCTAGCGACTAGCTGGTACACAAGTGACAAGTATGGCGATCACATAGCTATCACAGCTATTATTTTACATAGCGAGTGTGCTAGATAGCGTGCAATACAAATTCACAAAAAATGAAATTATCTTCACTTTTTGATTCTACATTTTTCGCAATTAAATGTAATCACAAAGCGATACAAACCAAGCAGACATAAACGCGAGCATGAAAACAAGACACCCAAAATGCCCCACGCTTGACTTCCAGCTGCACTTGGCTGAAGTTGTATGTACTATAAATGTTCCTAATTTTATTTAGAACATATTTTTCAAGTAATGCATCAGTTCCGAAGAAGCACCAAAGATGCTGTAACAGCGAACATTAATTAAATAAACAGTAGTGTAAAATTTTTCAATTGTTTCAGTTTTTCCCTTCTGGTTGCAGAACGTAATGGGAATGATTTTTCAAAATTCTAATGAACAGTTTTATAATGTCTCTCGATATTCCCTTTTTTAGCAACGGAAACAGATGTATTACATAACAACATTTTTACCTTTAACTTCTGTAAAGAAATATTGTTCTTCCCATTCTGAATGGAAATGGTATGTCTTCATCTTCTTACCGCTGCTCATAATGTCTTTAATTGCAGGCCAACTCTAACCTAACCGCTGGACTTGGTGCCGTTCAGTTTTAAGCTGAGCGTACTGTCGCTGCGCCTTGCCTATTTCTTCCGTTCTAACTAATCGAGATCGTTCTCGAACGGATCGCTCACCGCAGTGTTGCCGCTGCTTGTGTTTATTATGCGAATTTACAAAAGTTACGGTAGCTTCTATGATTTTTACACCTTTTTAAAACATGTTGTGAGCCACCAGAATTGCCTTTGCGAGCTACCGGTAGCTCGCGACCGACGGGTTGACGACCACTGATCTACTATATTAAAAGGTAACTAGGTAAATATTTTCAAGATGGTTACTGTGTTCCGCTAATTTCGTTTCTTAACGGTTATTCAAGATGATATTGTTTTATCAAAAAAATACCAAGTCTGTCCAGGATTGAGTTAGAACATTATTTTTGAAATCTGCCACAAAAGTACTAGCTCTTCGGATAAGAGGGTAGATCTTACAAGCAAGTACAATAAATCAATTATACTTATTTGTTTATAAGGTAAAAATAGTATTTTTGGGACGAGATTTAGCGGTACTAAATGTTAATTTTCATGGCAGACAACAGTTTTATAAAACAACTCGTCCTCTTTTGCAATGTACTCCAAAAATGAATATTTGCGAAAACTTCTGGATGAATCAATCTAATTTTTTAACCAATCTGCCTCTTCAGGATATAACTAAATTTGTTTATTTACTTTTACAGCTTTCATTGCTACCTGATTTTAGAAGCCTTTAATGGATTTTCAGCAGTGTCCTTTAATTATTTTTATCCACGATTTTGCAGGTTTTCCAATATACTACAAGAAAAATGTCTTGATTTTCCATAAAACTACAGTATATTTTACGTGGAAACGAGAATTTAAAAAAAATATTATTATGCAAAACCTCATCGAATTTTCTGCAGACTTGTATGGGATTAATTACTACATGGCAATAGTTCTAGAGTAGAAAGTGTAGCCAAGAATAACAAAAAAAGTCATATAAACATAGGTTCAAAATCCCCATTATTGAGATACAGGATGTTGTGACTTTTTATGCCACTGATGGGACTGAATAAGGACAAAACATGAATACTGTAAATAAATACCGTTCAAACAACTCTATGGTGAGATAGGATTACTACATACAATTTTTCTTCGTCTTTCGGGTGTAGTCTTCCAAAACAATTTAAAGCGATAAAGAAATTAATATTTTTCTTCTGTAAGGGTCAACATTTCTCAATGTCTACATCCTTTAGTATGTATTGGCTATGCTGTTAGCAGTACATGTAATATCTGAAACGACGACGCATTGCTTGACTGTCTCTACAGTTGTCCAGAACCAGATGTCTGTGTCGCTCCACGTATTGCTTTCGAGATACATCAGAAAATCCCCCACACTCTCCAGACCGAGGAGCTTCAGACCACCACCCATTTTTGTCGTTACAAGGTTTTCTGTAGGGTATACAATTAAAAAACGACGTCGATACCCAACAAGTTTTATGAAAATTTAATACACAGGAGAGGTTATAAATATGTTGTTATTGTGCGATACAGTTTATCCAAATAATACAAAAAAATATTTAATCACAACCTAAAAAGGTACTTTTCGGCATACCTACATTAGCCGCTTAATGAAAATCTGTTGTTTTGGCTATCATTTCTATTCAGTGTTGGTAAATTCTTTTGCTTAGTGGCCAACATTAGTAGCAAACTCAAGAAGTTCAAGAGCTGCCAGACAAAAAAAATAAAGCGATGCTGTTTATTGGCCAATTGAATCATCGGCCTGGACATCAAACATTGAGAACCAGAAAAACCATAGAGTACATTGAAATTTTTCCTTTTACCGAATTACTTATTTATATCACAATGTCAGGTAGCATCGCTTAAAACCTCTACATTCATAAGTGGAAGTCTGCTTATGGATGAAATGTTGCCTTGATAAATCTTCGTCCACAATCTTGAGCATGCTCTCGACATCCATCTTTTTCGCGTGCTCTGAGAAAACCTTATGTATGCACTGAATGTACCAACTCCCACGTTTCTCGTCCCTTAGCGAATAGAAACCTATAATAAAGAAAACAAAGGATACATATGATCAGTCGTATCTAGAAGCTACACATTGTATAACATAACAATTATTGCAATCTGATAGCAACTGCTGTTCTCTACGTTTTTTCTTTCACAAAAAGCAACCTGGCAGAAATTCAACTTTGAAGCGGTTACGTTTCACTCTTGCTTTCCTATTAAAGCAACTGGCTGTCTTGTTGCGAGGTTGTGGTTAAAGCCATTGACTATTATTCCGTTTATTTCGAACTAGCTGTTACCCGCGACTTCGTATGCGTTAAATTCTTACTAACGACATTTTTGAGTAGGTATTGCCATAATTGCATTGCATTAGTATTCTGTATAGACGGAAGGGCGACCAGATAAGATCACAACACTTAGGCCCCATTCAGCTCCTTGTACTTCCTCCCCAGGAATCGCTCAAGGCTGAATCGTCAGCCATATCTAGGCTGTTGATGAGGTGGTGAGTGGTGATGCGACTCAGTGGAGTAGATTCGCTTAGAATGGATTCTCGGATTGACAGGACAGCTGTCACATCGTCCTCTTCACAATCCCCTCAGAGGTGGAACAGGAAGATGAAACTGAACTAAAATTTCTTTGCGGGTGTCCATTTACATATCAAAAATCCAAGTGAAACCCATATTTGCGTACCTAGCTTTAAAAAATAATAGTTTCCCATAGTAGCTTTTACCCCATATTTCAGCATTCAAGCCTAATTTTCACAACAAAAGAAAGGCTATGTTCGTCTTTAAGGTCAAAAAAATTACTATATATATATATATATAATATATACAGGGTGGCCAATCCATGTGTGGACGGAATATTACTCATAAACAAATTCATTTTGGGAATATGTTATACATGACATTTGAGGGCACATTTATGAAATATTTTCAATTACACAGGGTGTCCCAATTTTGACCTACATATCAAATTAGTGATTTTTTAAATGGAATGCCTGAAATTTTGTTTTGGTGTGTTGTTCTATTAAAAGCTTAATAACTCAAAATCTAAAGATTTTATCTGGATCAAACCTTATAGGAAAAGAAGCTTCTACGAAATTGAATCCAAACTTGCACAAATAAACAGGGTGATGCATTTGAAATTTTTGAGAAAAAGTACAATTCGCGTTTTTGACCACCTAGTATGAGCAAAAATGTTACCCCATGCGCGCTTAAAAAGATTGTGATAGTTCTTTCAATAAAGCGGTAGTATTTTGAGGTGTGCCTAAAAACCCTAGACCTCCTTCGGTTTAAATTTTCATATAGTTCGTGAAAGTAGAATTTTTCCCTCAAAGTTAGTGTCAATGTCGAAATCTAGATGAACATTTACTTCGAGTAAAAACATCCTTGTAACCTCAGGGTGTACAATAGGGTTATTTAGTAAACATATTAATTTGTTTTTTATCAATCTATGTTGCAAACTTAAAAGGAGTTTTTATTGAACATTAATAAGATAACTTTAACTTACCAATATGCCCAAAAAAGAACCAAACATTGAGGGCATATTTTAAGTTAGTATTGGGTAACATACGAGTATACAGTCTGGATTTGTCTTAGAGGTCACGAATTTTCGAAGTACTTTTTAGAGCTGTGCTTTTTGTTGTTTTGAACCAATCAGTTCAACCTCTTGGTTAAGGGTCTATTAGGTTCCTAATTTTGGTGCGTAATTACCAATATTTGACAAAGGATTCAAATCTCAAGAGAATTCAACTTTTAAGTTCAGCATTCAAGGATATAATTACTAAAATTTGACAAATATAGGTAACTTTTTCTCTGGTAGTAGCTCATTTTAAAAAAAAGGTTGCTGGGAGGAATTTTTTTATCAAGAGGATTGTTCTGTGGTGCTTCCGAGAGATGAGTCACCATGGAGCAAACTTACCCCCCAGTTCACAGTCGTGGCATTATAATCAGATGTATTTAGAATTTCGTGTATAATAAAAAAAATTAGTAACGTTTACAGGGTATTCTATAAAAAATAAACAAGTTGATATGTACTTCCCGTACCACCGGAAGCGTCACCATTTTGAAAATATGTTGGCCAAATTGCTCCTATAATTTGTACTATAAACCCATTTCATAACTGTTTTATATAAACTTTTTGATTAATCGATCGCTGCAGTTTTACGAGGGACACCCTGTACATATAACTCCTGCCGAAAGTAACATCTAATCTGCAAAACAAATTTCGTAAATATTTCTTTGGTCTGAGCACAGAGGCTGATGATCCTTCATACACTATTAACCTACTTGTCACAGCTCTTTTATGAACTGCACCTCTCCTGGAAGGTTTTCAACAATGCTGCTGTAATTAAATCACTTCAAGGGACATAAAAACGCAATTGAGAAGTACTTTTATTCGATTTTATTAACACCAGCTGACACGTCACAATGTGATGTAGCGTTGACGCTTCTATTTGTGAACGCCAGTTTGCTGTCAGACCTTATTTTTTATTTAACAAGGGTGCCAAGGTGAAACCCGCAAACGCTCGACTATTTGAGAAAAAGATCTGGCTTGGAATTTATTTTATCCAAATCCAAAAACCTACTAACCTGGTAGCGTTGAATGCGCGATCAACATGTCAGCATGACTTTTGTAAGCTACTGTTGGTTTTGTGTCCGTTGCTAATGTTTCGTACTGTGTACCCCTAAAAAAACATGGAAATTTGGTTCTTAAATCCATAAAACTGGTTATGAATAACTTATCTAACTGGATCTAGAAGCTCACAAGTGGCTTAACGAGAACGTGACCTCGTGTCGATAATTTTTAATTGAACCTCTCCATCGTTGTTTTCATCCATCCAGTTATGGGTAAGTCAATAGCCCATCGAATATATCTACAACAATAGGGGACGTGGGCGCTAACAGGAATTTTTCTCAGGGGGATGGGATTAAACAAGAGAAAACTCTTTGTATGTTATAATTATATATCAGCTCCCAAAGATTTTTTGAGAGCGGCAGGTAGCAAAGATTTGGCAATGCTGAATATGCAAATTTCACAGCCTCCCCCTAAGGGTGCCTAGAATGGGGTGCCGGAAGTTTTCTTGAACCTTTATTTTGACTTTCTATAACTTGGCTCAGAGGACCGGTTTTTTAAAAATACATTATTAACTTGCATTATATATCATTTGCTGATATTTAGCAAGTTATACAGCATATAATTGTCTACGACTTGGGTATATAGTAATTTATATATATAGAAATATATTTTTATATATTTCATATATCGTAATTAAGAGCATTACCGAAAACGTCGTTCCAACATATCCCGCTTCATCGCTGACCGATTTTAATGCAGTTTTTCGGCTTTATAATCAAATGAAAATTGCTGATTTCGGGAAGAAACTATTTTTAACACTGAAAATTTTGGTCAAAAAAATATTATCTTGCAAACCGTAACTTTTTTGTGAAATCTAATAGTATCAGAAACGCAAAACTTTTTATAGCCAATTTCCAAATTTGAACCTTCTGTGTTGAAAAATTACTGAGGAATTGTGAAATGTGTTTTCCGGCGTACTGATGAAGACATAAAATGTATTTTTTTTAACAGGGGTTATCTTTTAAAGCCCCTCTCAGACAAATAAACTCGATGGTATTGCCGTATCGTCCTTTCCTGCCCGAAGTGTGAGATTCTCCAGAAATGCAGCATACTCATTAAAACCCTTCAGTCGTTCGTTACATATATAATGACCATATCGTAGAACTGACCAAATTTGGCATTATCGTTAAGCCGTCAACGTTCAACGATTTGGTCATCCACGATTGATCATATCGTAAAATATGGTGTCCATACGATACTTAGTAAAAATTCAGAATATGTTACGAACTCGTTTATTATTATTTAAGTATGTTAAGCATTTTGATTAAAACTAACAACTTCAGGAAATTAAAATATAATAATTATATTAAAACAATCTCAAATCACACAAAGTATCTCAACTAAAACTGAAACTGAACGGATTATTAGGATGGGTACTCCGAAAAAACAACTTTGCTATGAACGACAGCCATGTTGAAATGTAAACAAAGCCCTCCCAGCGTATCTATCGGCAATTAATATAATTATTTTACGATTTGATTAACCAAGCTTGACCATTTCAAGAAGTAGTTCAGCATTTACCTCATCATACAGGGTGTTTTCAAAGTTGAGCCATTTATTTTAACAGCTTGTAGAACTCGTATTTATTACTCCATCATGATACACGAACTTTTCCAATAGCCCTACAGAAAAAATCGCAAGGCATTAAATCCGGGGAGCGAGCAGGCCAAGAAATGGGACCATTGCGCCCTATCCGTCTATTCGGAAGCTCATTATTTAGATGTTGATGAACTTCTCGTCTAAAATGTGGTGAAGCCCCATCATGTAGGAACCATATGTTCTGTCTCACATTTAGAGGAACATCTAATAATTGTGGCAGATTGTGTCGAGGAATATCTAAATAAATTTCACCGATCGCTCTTTTTACAGCATGTGAATTTTTTACTACCCACACTTCACTATGAGAAACTTCAACTTGAGCTGCTATGGCTCTAGTACTCATTGTTTGGTCGTCTCCGACCATTTCTAAAATGTCTACCTCAATTTGTAATATTTCAGGTTGAGCAGGTCTTCCAGTGTGACCTCATTATTCTTTTCAATATCCTGTGTCACGAGGTCTAATAAATAAACTTATAAAGATTCATGGCGCCGGATGATTTCTTAAAGGAAACTTTCAGCATACAGCCGTCATGCTGCGGCTGCATATTGTTGGCAATCTCAGTATGTTAGTATTATATCCACTAGTTCAATGTTTCCGTAAACAAGCGCCATTTTTCGCACAAAATTCTCAAACAAATGAAAGTATACGCACTATTAAAAGGCTGTTACAACTGATCGAACCAAAAACTCGTACTTAAAACAATACAATAACACAAAAAGTTTGCCAGATTTAGATAAACGATAAGAGTAGTAAACAAAAAGCGCTAAGATTTTACACGGCAGTGGTCGAGAATATCAAAGAATCTGTATAATAACTATCTTATTTTCAGTCTTTTACTATTTCTTTTATTATGCAACTTTTATATAGGTGATTTTTAATATATCAAATCCTTTTGACGAGTCCTGAAAGCAGTTAAAATAAATGACTCGACTTTGAAAACACCCTGTATAGTTGAACAATTGGCCACGAGATATGCACAACCTGGCAAGTAGGAACCTATTCTTGGTTCCTTGATCTATTACTACTATTAGTTGAACATCAACCCACGTGCCATCGCCTACATGCCTGGCAAAATTGTCGACAGTAAGACCCTCTCCGAGCGCCAATACCAGCTTCCTCTGGTAATCAACCCATCTACCACATTCGAGTATATGTGTAGGGGGATCCTCTTTCTTGCAATATATGCAGCTCGCGTACGCTCTCTTTTCTACCCTCTTCAGGTAGCTGTCAAAAAACCATGTCCTGTGAGGAACTGTACAGTATAGTAATCTATCCGCACCGCTCCCTTGTCAATCCAAGTTTTAATATCCTGAATCAGCCTTCTAGTCCATGCACTATTGCCAGTTGCATCCCATGTCTCTCGCCATCTGACAAAAAGCGCCTCTCTTTCATCGCTTCTAGCTGCGGCGCCCTTTTTATCGAGTACGTGCATCTCTCCTCAGTCAGCAAATCAATTGGCGGAATACCCGCAAACACCAGCAGTCCGTTGGTCGACACCATTCTGAAAGCACAGACCACGCGCAGCAACACTTTTTGCTGGCTTCTGTATAGTATCAGAGGCCTATATTTATTTTTCCTCGAGGGCTTCTGACCCCCCTGCTGAAATAATACGCCTCTCACTACTGGGGCCTTCATCAGATGGTAGTATCCATATCAAGGATGCAGCTACTTTATTTACCTTATCAGTGGTACGCATTATGTTTTCAAATCTTTGTCGAACCACCCAACCAGGTACTTAATTGCATTTTGGCTTCGAATCTCTGCATTATTAACCTTAAAAGCTAGTAAAGTTAGCTTATGTCTGCCAGAAAGTATAACCACTTCCATCTTCTCAAGAGCTAACTCGAAGCCATTTTGTTCCATACAGATTATAATTATAATGATTCCATTTGCCAAAAGCTATTCTAGTTTACATCTCGCTTTGCCAGTGACTATCATCGCCAGGTCGTCAGCATACCCTAAAGGCGCGTACACATCTGGCGAACGCATGTGGCCGAAGCTCTTCGATCGAATTCATTCGATGATTTCGACGTTCGATGGAAAATTTGCTCTGCCGACCACATTACGGTTAACGAATTCGTTTGCAGTCATTCGTCGAGGTTTGCTGGTATTTTTGTAAATGGTAAAAAATGGCGTCCGATGTTGAGGATATAATTATTGCAAGTGCGTTGTATATTATTATTAGTGAGGCGGAGACCGAAGCATTGAAAGAGCCCCCAAGAAACGACGAAAACGGCGCTGGTGGACAACATCATTGTTCAAAAGCAGAAGTCGGTATAGAGGGATGGACTTAATTAGTGATCTAAAAGCTGAAATGGAATACGGACTTTTTGTAAATTTTTGTAGAATAAAGTCTACTGATTTTGAATGGTTATTAAATGAAATCAGTCCAAAAATCGCGAAACAAGATACAAAGTTTAGAGAAGCAATACCGTCAACAGAAAGGTTAATGTTAACCCTACGATATTTAGCTACTGGTGACTCATATACAAGTTTAATGTATACTTTTAAAATTTCAAAACAACTCATTTCAAGGATAATACCAGAAGTTTGCTCTGCTATAATTGAGACGCTACAAGAATACGTTAAGGTGAGTTCAATAGTTATGTATAATATGCTTTAGGTATTTATTAAAAAGTCTAGGGTTTATATAAAAAAAAACAAAAAATGCCTTAAAGACTATCTGTAAATGCATTTATAAAACGTATAATGGGTGTCTTCGGATTATCAGTTTCCTGTAACGTCAGGTTTGATGGGGTCGCCGACAAAAAAGACTCATTTTCATTCAGTGGACCATCTGATTCTGAAGGTGATGGTAAAGGAGTACTGATGCTTTGAGTATCTGAAGCATATTGATTATATGAATTGGGTGTTGTACTAGGCGTGATACTCGTATAAATTTGTTGATTGGGTTGAGATAAATAATATTGTTTGTGGCTAATGGAACTGATTGAGGACACGTGTGGTTCATAAAGTCCCTTATCAGCCTTATACAGAATATCTCCAATTAGATGTTCCACTTCACTTTGTGTATGCGCGCTGTATTTTCTATGCTTTGCAGCAACATGTTCTCCAAAAATTGTGCTACCGTCTCTTGTTTTTTTACTTGCAAGTGTTTCTTGTAATATTTGGTATGCTTCTTGCCCTCTAGAGATAGCACTGGTTGCTCCTTGATTCACAGAAGCCACAGATGGTACCCGTTTGACCCTCTTGGGAGATATAAAATTTGATTTTCTTTTGAGGGTTATCCGTTCTGGTACTTCTGTTACTTGCGTGTCATTATTAATTTCGTCAACAGCTATGTCATTGTTGGCCATGTCTTCTTCCTCTTCCTTCTCCTCCTCCTCTTCTTGATATTGATTCCTTGGTCGAATCATCTCCTGAAAAAATTTTGGTTTCATATTTTTTTACACTAACGTTTTTTTTTTGTTTTTACGAATGGCGATATG